TAAATAGGGGAGGCAGCTTAGTGACATGATGCAGAAGAGGCTGAAGTACTCAATGTCTTTGTCACCTCAGTCTTCACAGGCAAGGTCAGATCCCAGAGTACAATACCAGGAAGCACAGTTTGGGGAAACGGTGAGCAGCTAACAGTGGTGAAAGAATAGCTATTTAGAAAAGCTGGATGTGTACAAATGCATGCGGCCAGATGTAATGCAACTACAGGTGCTGAGGGAGTTGGTCAATGTGATTGTAGAGTGCTGGTTGTCACCATTGAAAATTCATGGCAATTGAGAGGCACTGAATGATTGGAAAAGGGTAAATATAGTGCCCATCTTTAAGAAAGGGAAGAAGGAGAGCAGGGGGTTACAGACTGGTCAGCCTCACCTGAGTCCCTAGAAAAATCATGGAGCAGGTCCTGGAAGAATCCATTTCCAAGCATTTGAAGGAGAAGAAGGTGATTTGGAACAGTCTGCATGGATTCACCAAGGGCAAGTCATTGAGTCAGCAAGACCAACGTGATTGCCTTCTATGATGAGATGACCTGGCTCTGTGGATGCAGGGAGACCAGTGGACATGATATACCTTGACTTTAGCAAGGCTTTTGATACGGTCTCCCACAGCATGCTCTCAAGCAAGCTAAGGAAATCCAGGTTGGATGAATGGACTGTAAGGTGAATAGAAAACTGGCTGGATCATCAGGCTCAAGAGTTTAGTAGTCAATGGGTCAATGCCTAGTTGGCAGCCAGTATCAAGTGGAGTGCCCCAGGGGTCAGTCCTGGGGCCAGTTTTGTTTAATATTTTCATCAATGACCTGGAAGATGAGAGTGCACCCTCAACAAGTTTGCAGGTGATACCAAGCTGGGAAGAGTACTAGATATAGCAGAGAGAAGGGCTAGGATTGAGAGAGACCCAGATTAATGGAAAGATTGGACCAAAAGCGTGTTGATGGCCATCTTGCTGGGGTCATCTGATTCCAGCAGTCTTTCCTGTCCAAGTGCAGGGGGGCTGGCCCTGATGATCTGTAAGGTCCCTTCCAGCCCCAAACAACTATGAAAAGAAATGTCATGAGGTTCAATTTGTGAGGTTTCTGACAAGTGCAAAGTTCTGCACTTAGGCTGGAACAGTCCCATGCACTGCTACAGGCTGGAAGCTGACAGGCTAAGCAGCAGCTTTGCAGAAAAGGACCTGGGGGTTACAGTGGACAATAAGCTGAATATGAGCTAGCAGTGTGCCCTTGTTGCCAAGAAGGCTAGAGGCATACTGGGCTGTGTTAGTAGGAGCATTGTTAGCAGATTGAGGGAAGTTATTCTACCCCTCTATTCGGTACTAGTGAGACCTCATCTGGAGTACTGTGTCCAGTTTTGGGCCCCCCATTACAGAAACGAGGTGGACAAATTGTAGTGTCCAGCAAAGGGCAGTGAAAATGGTGAGGGGACTGGGGCACATGACTTATGAAGACAGACTGAGGGAACTGAGCTTTATTTAGTCTGGAGAAAAGAAAACAGTGGATTTAATAGCAGCCTTCAATTACCTTGAAGGGTGGTGCCAAGGAGGATGGAGCAGGACTGTTCGCAGTGGTGGAAGATGACAGAACAAGGAGCAGTGGTCTCAAGTTGCAGCAAGGGCAGTTTAGGTTAGAGATTAGGAAAAGCTCTCACTAGGAGAGTAGTAAAACACTGGAACAGGTTACCTGGAGGGGTGGTGGAATCTCTCTCCATCCTTGGAGGTTTTAGAGACCCAACTAGACAAAGCCTTGGCTGGGATGATGTAGTTGGGGATGGTCCTGCTTTGAGCAGCAGGTTGGACTAAATGACCTTCTGAGGTCCCTTCCAACCCTCATTTTCTATGATTCTAAAGTAGGAACATCCTTGTATTTTTATTTCAATGTAGTGCAGCCAAGGTGAATGCCAGATTGGGGATATAGAATTAACCTTGTCTAACTACAAGATATTTCTGCCTTATCTCTCTCAGGATCTTCATCAAAATAGCTAACTTGATATAAACATACACTGTGCAGTTAAAAGACAACTACCACAATAGCCTCCACCTACTTTTCATGGGAAGAGCAAATTTATGCTCCTGTAGGTAGGGGTTGTACAGTGAATCAAGGATTCATCTTTAAACTAAACACATTTTGTGCCTCCTGAAGGGTATTTAGCTCTCTGTTTTTTTTTTAACTAGATTAAATATGAAATATAAACATAAACTGGGAGTGTTGGGGAACCCCTTTGTCATTATGTAAGCTGAGGGAGCCAGCATCTAACAGAAAAGGTTTTAAATCTGTAGAGCCCTGGGTTGTGTGGATGGTACACCCCTAGAGCACCATTCATTTTTTTCAGAAAGTATTACACCCAGATAGCCTTGGTTTCATCCACTACTTACCCAAGGGCAACTATTTCAGGCGACTGGCCAAGAATGGATAGCATACGTTGTCGTCATATAAAACTACAAGTTTTATTTATAATACAGAATCTTCATTTCTGTGAATGTGCTGCGTTCTCTTGTCATGGGCCTACATGTTAGAATTCTTCAGTTAAAGGCCTGCAGAAGCCCAGACCCTTATTTTAGGGTTAATTTCCTTAGAATAACTCCAAATCTCTTTGCATATGATACCCAGTTCCCAGGGAATTACAGCTTTCAGAACAAGATAAAATGAACATTTTTCCAATAATATACTGGCCAGGTGAAAGAGATGGCTAGGTTGTTCATCTGCTGTTAGACTGCTCAGAACTGATTGGACTTGTACATGTAGGCAGACCCCTTCTCACTTTGAAGTAACTGGGTACTAACCCATGAAACTGCAGTAATGCTCTCTAATGTTCCCTTGAGCTCTTCTGCTTTCCAATAAACACTGATTGATTTGCCTGTTTTTCTTAACAGCTACGTTTTCATTTATCTCAGTTCTTGGATAAGACAACTTCCTACATTGCTTTCAACTTCCACTGATAAAGGGAGTGATAGGGTCTCAGATCGAAAGGGCTTGGAGGCAATCCACTGAAAGGGCTGATGGATTCTGTTGTTCCCGCAAGCTAGAAGGAAACAAGTGTTACTGCAAACTCAAGAGTTAAATAATGCTTACATTATATTGCTATATAATACAAAGCTATGTAATACACACTGGGACTTTTTGTATAAACCTAAATATACTAACTAGAATATGAAGTTTTGTACACATAACTTAGTTTGTCCCACTAGTTTCTATAGATAAACTATAGAAAGTAAGTTGAAACACCACTAAGGAGGAGTATTCTGCACTGGTCCACACCTGCAGGGAGTGAACTAGGAAAGCCAGGGCTGCAACTGAACTCCAACTGGTGACACAAATCACGGAGAATAAAAAGTTCTTCAGACATGTGGGGAGTCGAAAGAAAAACAAGGGCAACATTGGACCCCTGCTAAACCATTTGGGGCAGCTGACTACCAACACCCAGGAAAAAGCCAATCTGCTTAATGATATAATGCATATAGCCCGCACCCAGATATAACCCACACCCATGCATAACCTGCGGAAAATTGCAT